ACTTCCATTCACCCTCATGGAAATAACGGAGACGGAGATGAAACGGACATGTTTGGACGGATCCGTCGTCCGTATCTCCATGAGGGTGAATGGAAGTGGCTCCACTGCCTCCGCATGCGTCCGTCCAACGCACGTTGGACGTATTCCGTCAACGGAGGGTGCAACGGACGCGGACGGACGAAATAGAAACAATCCTATTTGTTCCGTCGACGAGTGTCGGGTCCGTTTTCCATTGAAAATACAATGGAATAATATATTGATATATGCTGTAGTCCTTGGTTATAAGTATTTGTTAATGACAATGATTATTAACAAACGTGTGTAATTTTTTTCATGTATTAATTTAAATAATTGTTTCCTGATCGTACATCTACCATTTATTTTTCGCATAATGTTAATACGTTAATCTTTACATACATCTCGCTCTGTCCCATGGATCTATTATAATAACTGGATAGGGTATTACTAGCTTGTAGCTGAATAACTCATGTGCTCGGGGGATTCTCGCGGTACTGCAGACTAAACCAGACTAAATTCACGTGGGCTACCCAGAAATTTTCTCCATAGAACTCAATGCATATTAAAACAGCTCAACCTCAGCTGAAAGAGAACCTACAGCTTTCATAAAGGTCGGATTTTGTGGGGATTTTAGTGTCCCTTGTCATCCTGAACTTTTTTTCTTCTTAAATCCTTCGGTTTTGTGTAAATCCACACTTTAGTGCCACAAACTCTGCTCCTCTGGCTCTCGCTCTAACTCCCGCTCTGATGAACTGCTCTGATTGGTCAGAGCGAGCCCCTCTGTGCACGTGCGTGAGACCCGGTGTGAGACCCACACACGCGTGTTTAGCGCAACGCATTATGGGAGATAATACACTGCACAGAACCGGGAGGACCAGACGATGCCCAAATACAGGCGAGTTTCCCATAGATCTTTGCGAGTTCCAGGCGACTTCCGCTAATCTTTCAGCCCCCATGCCGTCACAAAGCGCCACTGAGCACAACCATTCATTTGAATAGGGCGCCATCTTGGATCGCCGGGGCTTGCTCTGTCCCCTCTACCTGCGAGGCGCTCTCTCCGCGCACACACACACACAGGATATGTTAGAGTTCTTTTCTCTCTCCCCTTTTTCCAATTGCTTTCAATAAGTTTTGCTTCATCCATCGCGACGTCCTCAATGCTTCAATATGCTGTGCTTTGCACTGATCATAGCCACAGCTCATTCAAATCACACACCGCTTCTTCTATTTAAAACTATAGCGGCTGCCTGTTGCCTAAAGCCGCGGAGAGGCGAGTTGGGTCCGATAAAAGTGTATGACGCGCTAAATAAGTATAGAAAACAAACGAAGAGGCTGGATCATAATAATCGCTGCGGTCACAGGCCCAAACACACATGCACGCACACACACGCGCCTCCCACCACACACACACACAGGCGCTCTCACGCACACGCACACATGTACGCCGACAACACATGACTCCTCCATCAGCCAAACATTCTTTTATTCACACAATGCCCAAACGTGTCTCCTACAAAAACAAAGCAGGCTGATAAACGCACAGCCAGAGCTGCTGCTGCTGCAGCCGGTTTGACCACTAGTCTTTTTTATGGACGTCCGACGGACAGCAGCCAACGCGCGTCAACGCAGACGCGCCCGGTGGAGTCCAGGCCTCAGTTTAGTCCTCCGAGACCGCGGCTCCCTCCAACAGCGCGCAAGTGTGTGCGTGCGCATGAGTGGGTGCGTGCGTGTACGCGAGTGTATGCGTCGTCACTAAAGCCTAGTGTATACTTGCGCGGCGCGGAGCTTACGGAGGTGACGTGACGTCACTTGCGCAACACGTTGGTCACCGCAAGGCCCTAAAGCCTAGTGTATACTTGCGCGGCGTGGCTTACGTTAGCGGTTGCGGTGGACCTACGTAAGCACAATTGATGTTATACTGGCGCGTTCCCCTTACGGAGTTTTGAGGAGAATGTTGTAATCCCACAACAAACCACATGAGGGCGATCACACAGGAGCGGTCCCATTTACGCTGCTACTTTGTCCTCTTCAGAACAACAATAACAAACAAAGCTGTTTGAGCTCATTACACGTGTTTCTACTGTAGGTTTATGTGATAGTTTTATGGATTCATTATTTTATAAGTCATTTCAACTGTGATGCTGTGAATAAAGACACAGTTCTTGTTGGAAACATAGTTATTATTAAATAGTTTTCAGCACAAACAGCAAAACAATAATAGTGGTAAATATCTGAGACAAACATGAACGATTTACGAGTGCAGGAGGAAAGCAACAAACGTTGCAAATGTTAAATAGTCCACTGTCTCCTGTATATCAGGCTCTGAGCCCAAACTGCTTTTCCTTCGAAGCACAAAGCTCTCTGCTCCATAGTGCCTCGTCCATGCTCCTGCTGCAGCCGCTTCATGCTTCCTTCCAATACACACACACGGACCAATCACAGCGGAGCTTCCTTGCGGCGACCCCAACGTAAGGGCCTTGCAGTGACCAACGCGTTGCGCAAGTGACGTCACGTCACCTCCGTAAGCTCCGCGCGAGTATAAACTAGGCTTTACGTTGCCTGCCGCGCAGCATCGAAATTTTCTAACTACGTAAAGGTCGCCGCAAGGAAGCTCCGCTGTGATTGGTCCGTGTGTGTGTATTGGAAGGTGTGGTGTATTCTGTAATGTAACAGTATCATCTTGTTTCACTAATGATCTTTGTTGACGCCCCTGACGTAACACGTGCGGTTCATTATTCAGACTGTTGAGTAAAGCCTCATGTTAACAGCACACAGTTGTCCCACGTATCTTTGTTCAACCTCAGAACACGACATGGTGTCAGAAGTACTGTGTGACTTTTAAGAAAGGCAATAAGGGTCCGTCAAGTGGAAAAAGGGATTGAGGTGCGCAGTAATGTCAGACGAGGGGGAAGACCAACAAGTGAGGGCTGGAGTTAGCATGGCGGCTAGCACTCCCAGCGCTACGTTTAGCATACAGCCACCGGAGACCTTTGATAGAGGAAGAGAACATGGTCCACTCAGACTCAATATCCCCCTCCTCCGCCGGGACCTGGGAGAAGCTCTCCCGGAGGTGTGAGTTGAAAGTCCGTCTGACAGGGGTCTCAGCGAGACGTTCCCAGCAGACCCTCACTACACGCTTGGGTCTGCCAGGTCTGACCGGCTTCTTCCCCTGCCAGCGGATCCAACTCACGACCAGGTGGTGATCGGTTGACAGCTCCGCCCCTCTCTTTACCCGAGTGTCCGAAACACGCGGCCGAAGGTCAGATGATACGACAACAAAGTCGATCATCGACCTCCGGCCTAGGGTGTCCTGGTGCCACGTGCACTGGTGGACACCCTTGTGCTCAAACATGGTGTTCGTGATGGACAAACCGTGACTAGCACAGAAGTCCAACAACTGAACACCACTCGGGTTCAGATCAGGGGGGCCATTCTTCCTGATCACCCCTCTCCAAGTGTCACTGGCGCTTCCCACATGGGCGTTAAAGTCCCCCAGGAGAATGACGGAGTCCCCGGGCGGTGCACCGTCCAGTACCCCTCCCAAGGACTCCAAGAAGGCCGAGTACTCTGCACTGCTGTTAGGCCCGTAGGCCGTCACAACAGTGAGAGACTTGTCCCCCACCCGGAGGCGGAGGGACGCGACCCTCTCATTCACCGGGGAGAACTCCAACACGTGGCGGCTGAGATGGGGGGCAATGAGTATGGCCACCCCAGCTCGCCGCCTCTCCCCGCGAGAAACACCAGAAAAGTGGAGCGTCCAACCCCTCTCAAGGAGTTGGGTTCCAGAGCCCAAGCTGTGTGTGGAGGTGAGGCCGACTATCTCTAGTCGGTACCTCTCGACCTCCCCCACAAGCTCGGGCTCCTTCCCCCCCAGTGAGGTGACGTTCCACGTCCCAAGAGCCAGATGTTGGGTGTGCGGACTGGGTCGCCGAGGTCTCCGCCTTCGACTGCTGCCCAGTCCTCTCTGCACCGAGCCGCCACTGACCCCTCTGCGGGTGGGGGGCCCACAGGAGGGACTGCCCACGTCATCCCTTCGGGCTGAGCCCGGCCGGGCCCCGTGGGCTAAGGCCCGGCCACCAGGCGCTCGCATTCGAGCCCCGACCCCAGGCCTGGCTCCAGGGTGGGGCCCCGGCTGCGCCATGCCGGGCGACGTCACGGTTCTTCTTTTCGTGCTGTCCATGTTGGCTTCTGACTGCTCTTCGTCTGACTCGTCACCTGAGACCTGTCTGCCATGGGAGACCCTACCAGGGGCATGAAGCCCCAGACAGCATAGCTCCCAGGATCATCCGAGTACTCAAACTCCCCCACCACGTTAAGGTGGCAGTCCAGGGGGGACTCAACCCTGACCCTAAAAAACGGCACTACAAGGTCTGTTCTGACCATTTCATAACAGGTAAGAGCTAGCTAAACTTGTGCATGTGTGGTTTATATTCAGAGCTGCGATTTGACTGATACCATGTGCGCCTCAAGGAATCCCCTCTAAATGAATGAGAGGAGGAGGAGGAGGAGGAAAGGGTGGTAGACAGAAGCTTGTATGGCCGTGGGTCAGTGATTTACGGACTGTGACATGACTGCTTCGTTCAAAATAAATTAATGATTGAAAGAAATATTGCATTATATACATCATGACCTTTTGTAATTGTGAAACTGTTGGGTAAAAGTAAGTCTGGTGTGTGCCATGTTTGGATTACAAAATAACACCAACAACTTGATCAAGGTTCAGTCATCTGATATCTGTGGTAAAATGTAAACAAACACAGCACATACATACTTATGACAAAATATTGTCTATATAATTCTGTTACAATCCTACAAATGTAAATATTATATACATGACTTTCAAAATGTAATGCTGTCTGAGTCATACCAAATATATGAATGAAATATATGAACTTATTTAAGATAATTATTTATTTTTATTTGCAGGGAAGAGAGCTGAGTTGTACCACTCGTCAAATCCAGATTGGGCACCTTCATTGAAAATGGGACCAGTTTCAACGTCTCCCACAAAGACACGGCCCAGTCAAAAGTGGTTTGAGAGGGCAAAAGGAAGAACGGAAAAGAGGAAGCGTAGTGAAGCGGCGGCTGCACTACTCAGTCTGCAGAAGCAGGATACGCCGGTGACTGATGAGGTGACTACTTCAGACACTGGTGAGGCAAATGACAGTGAGACGGATGTCGCTACTGCATCATCGGAACAGTCAACAGATCCTCAACCAGACGACACGTTACTCATGAAGCAAATGAGGGAGGAGCTTCAGCGGCTGACGACGGAAACCATGTTACTGAAGGAGAAACTGAAAGGAATGGTTTTGACTCCGGACACGCTGAGGGGTAATGACGCTAAAGTAAAGCATTACACGGGTGTTACCTACGACATTCTCATGACCCTGTATAGATTTGTTGAGGCGAGTATACCTCATTCAGCATCAAGTAGACTGACAAAATTTGAAAAGCTGATGATGGTATTGATGAAGTTGCGACTAAACCTCAGCCAGCAGGACTTGGGCTACAGGTTCAAGGTTTCCACGAGTTGTGTCTCGAATGTGTTCCTGGGTGTGGTGCATGTCCTGTTCATCAGAATGAGGGGCTTCTTTCTCTGGCCAGACCGAGAGGACCTCCAGATGTCCATGCCGATGGAGTTTAGGAAGAACTTCGGTGTGAAGGTGTCAATAATTATTGACTGCTTTGAAATCTTCATAGAGAGGCCCTCCAACTACTTGGCTCGAGCAGAGACGTGGTCGAATTACAAGCACCACAATACTGTGAAGTATCTCATGGGCATCACACCTCAGGGAGCCGTCTCTTTTTGTCAAAAGGATGGGGTGGCCGAGCCAGTGACAAGCATGTGACTGAAAACTGTGGCCTGCTGTCCAAACTGCTGCCTGGAGACATCGTTCTCGCAGACCGAGGCTTCGACATAAAAGAGAGTGTGGGACTGCACTGCGCAGAAGTGAAGATACCATCTTTCACAAGAGGAAAGCAACAGTTATCCCCCCTTGAGATTGAAGCAACAAGAAACATAGCCCACAGCAGAATCCATGTGGAACGCGTCATCGGTCTGGTGCGGAACAAGTACACAATTTTGCAACACACCATTCCTATTGACTACTTACACTGCCCTGCAGGTTGTGTACCAACGTTGGACAAAATTGTCACAGTGTGTTGTGCACTGTCCAATTTGTGTGGCTCGGTTGTGCCATTTGACTGAAAGTTGTTAGAGGAATAAAAGAAAAAAAACCGTGATGAGACCCCATCAATAAAACACATTTATTCTGTTATATTTTGTTTTTCATTTATCTTACACCCTCACATTTGCAGGTTACTTACACATGAGCCCATGCACAGTAAAGTCTAGTGTGGATAAAATAAGTTAACATGAGTAACATTTAATAAATGTACTATATGAAAGTGTCACTTTGTTTCTACTCTTTAGAAAGGATCAGGTCTGTTACATATAGGAAACTTGACTAATGGATAAAACAATTATGTTCTAGCAACCTCTAATGGACAGAGGAGGTATTTGGACACATTCAAAACATGATATATCTTCTGATTAAAATCTAGTTTATACATGGCTCAACTTGTGCTTTTTTGTTGACTTGTGATATTTCCACCAAAAGAGTTATGTCAATGAATATGTTAAGTTTAATATAATATGTTAAGTGCCAATATCAAATAAATCCCCATGAACAAAATAGTTTTCTGTGAATTGCTTTATTTTGGAGTGTCTTTTTCACAGAATCCTTTAGAACATACCACAATCTGTGGATCAAATTCCATCATCTGTCATAGTAATATTTTCAAATATGCTCTCACAATGACGTAGCAGTGGTTCACTTGGGGTCGTGGCAAAAGTTTCATCGTAAAGCCCGGACAAAGGAGTTGGATACTTCTTGTCTAGTGCTTCAGGACGAAAATATTTCGAATAGCCTGGAACCAATGCCAGGAGCACTGGCTTCTTTTCAGTGACGTGTAGCTCCTTGAATAGAGTGGCAAGTTCAGATTCGGATGGCTCATCAACACTCGGTTGTTTCCTTGGGCTGTTGACAACGGGGGTACCGGTGTTGTTGATAGTCATCTCCAGTTGCTTCTTCATGGTTTTTGCAGAAGTGAAGTTAATCTGCTGAATTGTTTTATACTGGACCTAAAAATAACAAACAAGAAAACAGAAATTAGGACAGTTTACATAGTTTACATGCATTTAGGATTCAAAGTTACCTAAAATAGTCAAATAGTCAAAGTCATTATTCTTTTAATCCTAACATTTGAATATTATTATATATATCACATACATACATATGTATGTACATATGTGTGTATATATACACACACACACACACACACATATATTAATACAAGACTTGAAGTGCATGACATTAAATTTACCTTCTGTAGAGCTGCAGGTAACAACCAGTAGGCCTTTTCCTGGGTCACAGTTCGTCTTTTCCTTATATCTGTCGCACTGTCCAGAGCAAAAAGGATGGCACCGACGTGGGAACACACCTCTCCAAGACCAGCCACACAGATACAATGTGCAGACAGAACCTCCCCGTCTCGCTCGGTGATTACCCAGGGTAGGAGGCAAGGGTCATTCATCCGTTGCGAGTGTTTTATCCTAGCCATCAAAACACTCTTGTCGTTGATGATAGCATGTCTCACCTCCTGCACCCAACCACACACCAGGTAATTGAACGATTCCATCGTCTTCATTGCCTTCAGTTCCTTCAGGGTGTACGGACTTCGTGTGTGTAGGCAGTAATTCACAATGTCTGCGTATGTTACCGCAGGCCAGGAGTCCATTTCTGGTGAAGTCCACTGGTCTCGCCGCATTTCGTATGGATCCAAATCTCCGATCACTCTCAATTTCTCCAAATATCTTTCCTTAGAAATTACGTCCAGTGTATCACTATACTTCACGCGGTCAGAGTCGGCCGATTTCGTGGCTTTAGAAGACATTGTGAGAATGATCCGTGGCAAATGAACTGTGAGAAATGATCCGTGCTATATAATCTAGACAGACAACATGGCGGCCGCGCAAAGCATCATGGGTAATAAACACGTGATCGAAAACCATCTATTCTCTGGCCCAGTCCCAATACCTACACTGCACCCTACACACCTCTACGAAGTGTGCATTTGTTCGAAGTGCACACCAGGGTTGGAGTGCGCAGGTTACAAGTGTGCAAAAAAGGCAGAATTGGGACAGTGCAGTGAGTGCAGGTTACGTCATCGACTCGTCAAGAGATATAAAGAAACTTTATAAACATTAAAGGTAATTTTGTCTGACCCTTTGGGAAACAAAATGAATTGCTTCACACACGTTAAAATACATGTATATTAGTTGTTTTTAATTAGAGATAGCTGTATAATTTTAAGTTAAATACTGAGGTGGGTAACTAACTATCTGGTCAGTTTTTATACATTCTAAGATTATTGTACTAAGTGTAAAGTTTAAATTGAATGTTATATAAACGCTTGTTTATAACTACAAAAACCAAATCTTAGGTCCACCACAGAATCCACACGAGAAAAACCCTTCAGCTCAACGTTTGTGATCAGAAGTTTTAGACAAGAGGGTACTCTCAAAGGTCATCAAGGATACACACAGAAGAGAAACCATTTGAGTTGTGACCAGTGTGAAAAAACAGTTAGGACCAAACAGCTGCTCTCACTACATCACATGTCCCACACAGGAGAGAGAACCACACCAAAAGGTGACCAGTGTGAAAAGACTTTACAGTGTTTACTCTCAACCTCACTGATCACCTACAGGAAATCCACACTGTGAGATAAACTATTCGTGCCTGTGGGAGACCTGTGGGAAGACGTTTACTCATCTTCACACTACAAAGCACATGAGAGAATCCACACTGGAGAGAAATCCTATCAGCTGCGACGATTGTGGTCAAGTTTTTCTCGGAGTGATTCATCTCAAGTGCAACAGAGAATCCACACAGGAAAGCCATTTGCATGAGACATCTGCAGTAATACTTTAAAACAGCAACAGAGTCGCACACAACGCACCCATCGGAGCCACACTGAGAGAAGCCGTACGAGGTGACCAGTGTGGAACATGTTTTAACAAGAGGAAATCTTAACCGAGCACAAAAGAATCCCACTCTGGAGAGAAACCCTTTCAGCTGCGAACGATTGAGGTTCATAGATTTTCTTCTGAGTGGTCACCTCAAAGTGCCATCAGAGGTCCACACTGGAGAGAAACCATTAGACTGAGAAAAGTGCGAAAAGTCTTTTTACTATGGTACATCTCTACTAAACACATTAAAACCTTTAGAGAAGCAGGTCTGAAGCATCTGGAAGAACCAAAGTGAAGGAGACAGAGCTGATGCTGCATCCTGTGAACCCAGCGTCAAGACTCAACAGGATCTCCTTCAGTCTTAACTCCTGGTTTGGCGGAAAGAATCCATTCTGTTCAGTGTTTTCATTTATTCATGTTTGACTTTTTCTGTCCATAAGGCGCGTTCAGAACCAAAAGCATCAAAAAGGCTTTTGACGCGCTTCAACTGACCGTCACCGGAATAGATTTAGTCCTTTAGTGCTTTGAAGCTTTTGAACGCGAGTGGACGCGCCTGACGCCGGGATGGGAGGAGCTTCTCATTTGCCTGTAGTCAGGACAGCGGTGATTTTTCAATGAGCAGCGAGCCTTTATTTGTTATATAAAGCAAAATAAACGTTGTTGTAGGCTTTCAACAAAACATTTCTGGTTCACCACAGACTTGAGAGGCTGCAGTGTTTGCTGAGTTCCGTCATATTACTCCAGGAGTCTGCGACGGAGGAGTTGTCGCTTTCAGCGGTAGCTTCCGCCATGTCACTCGCCAGTCACGAGTTCTCAAACCCCGGAACTCGCTCTCCCCGCCTCTTCCCTGCCTCTCCCCTGCTCTCCTCTCGCCTCTCCTGCCTCTCCCCCGGCCCTCTCACGCCCGCCCGGAGCTTTGCCTTTCTCTGAGCCAGACTCATCGACAGCCTGTTCTTATTTTAAATAAACTACGATTACTAACACAAGCGCATGTGTAAATGATTTTGTTACTCAGAATTTACAACTCATACAAATTAATATTACTAATAACAATAAATGACAAAAAAACAGCAGCAGCATGACTTCTCTTCAAAGACAGAGACAGACCCTCTGCTGCGGCTGCTCCTCGTCTCATGTATTGGTTGAAGCCCGCTGTCAAATCTTTCAAAAGCTCAGCATGCTCAGCTTCGGCGTCAAAAAGCGTCAGTTTCATTGAAAGTGAATGGTGAAGCGCGTCAGGTGAACCTAGAGACCCCGGCGTCACTTGACGCGCGACAAAGCTTCAAGAGTCGCGCGTACTCGCGCTCACATTGAAGCTTATGACGCGCGAAAACGCTCGCGTATCAAAACAATTCCTTTGACGCCGAAGCTGAGCAAAGCTGAGCTTTTGAAGCAATGACGCGTGCTTCAACCAGATCAGGAGACGAGGAGCAGCAGCCTCAGAGGGTCTGTCTCTGTCATGACGAGAAGTCAATGCTGCTGCTGTTTTATTGTCATATACTTGTTATTAGTAATATTATTTGTAGATTAGTAACATTTTCCCCAGGGGGAAGGTAACAAAATCATTGTACACATGCGTGTAGTAAACGTAGTTTATTTAAAAAAAAGAA